TGCGCAAAACATTTTTCATGAGAAACTATCTATCAAAGTTTCAAGAAATTTGGTGCACGTGTAGGCCGACGCGAGATCTTCAAAACCTGGATTTTCTCCCACTTTTTTAGTTCAAACGCGATTTCTTTGCATAATTTAAAATTAATTTTATGCATGCTCGGATGTTTGCACAAATCACAGTGCGAAATTCGCAAGCCAATTCCCAAAGGTCCTAAAAGAGTTACAAAATTATTGACACGTAGTTTGTTTGTAAATAAACACTCCAATGGGGGGGGGGGGGCTTTTAGTAAACACTCCTTGGGGGGGCTTTTAGTAACAGTTTTCCTACTCTAAAAACGCTAGCATTTTAAATAATTTTAGTGCCAGATGTACCAGAGAACGTTAAAGTACATAGGCTTATTTCGCAAATGTCGCGCGCATCTGACTTTAGTGAACTTTTTCCAACTGTGTAGTTTTTTTATACATGCACTCTGTATATTCTCATTTAAAGCGGCGTTCTTGATTTCCTACAATATGCCTATAACATTTAACTGAAATCTTGTAATGTTTGTATTATAAAATGTCAATCATTTAATGTCTAATTCTATTTCCACCTATTGAGAGTTCCAAATATGATATTAAGAAAAATTGAACGTAGTCTATTTATCGGAATGAAATATATAAATCGCACCTAACATGAAATAATCACCCATAAGATATAGTTACATAACATAATGAAAACTATACCCAAACCGAAACATATAAACGAGAACATTTGGACTAACAAATCGCCCATGTTCAACGTGAATAGTGGAGGAAATTAGAAATGAAATTTTCTCCTCGGAAACCTCTGCTGTAGACTTGGTTCAAGTCCGTCTCTCAAGCATAGATATCTTATATACATTAGATAGCGCATCTCTTTTAGTAAAATTGAAGCCAAGAATATTGCAGCGGTTAGCCCCATTTGAATAGATGGCGGCCATGTTGAAGTTTCCCATTCGCTAATAAACGCTTAAAAAACAACAATAACTTTCATCATTTGAATAGTTTGAAAATGTATTTGGAATAGGTTTAACCAGGCCTGGTTTAACTTAATGTTTAAGTTCCTTGTTTAAGAAATAGAAAACATACGAGTCTTCTCATTTCATGGAAATATCCTGAGTCTGCAATCACGACTTCAATTTTTGAATTGCAGAATAATTAGATGCACTATCTAGCGTATATAAGATATCTATGCTCTCAAGGGGTTGAAAATACCGATGCACGCGAGCGGTGAAAAAAGCGCGAAAATATGAGAAAAGTAGGGAGAGACGGATTTGGGACATTTGCAAGCGCGCCAAAATTTACCTTCGAATACCTTACTTACAAAATTCTTGAAAGAGGGGAATATATTGAATAAAGGAATGTATTACAATTTCAATACAGACTATACTAATAATATCAATTCTATCAAAGAGATGCCATCGACGTCATGTTGTCTACAGTGATCCACGGCATTTTCCTCTCGAAGCACGCGCCGCGGTAAAATTCCAGCATGTGTTCGCGGACTGCTTAATTTCTTTGAAACGAAATTGGAAAATAAGGCTCGTTTACTCTACTACAAAAGTATAGTTTACTTATTGACCGACGATGTCATCATTCCTCGAGCATACAGAAGGCACTTTGCCACTCTTGAGAAGCGTCGAGTGTCGAACACGTTGGATCATGAATGCAATTTGGTCTCTATATACAATCCGAATTCGGTTGACTTCATTACTCCGGCGACATTAAAAAAATACAATTTCTATGTTTTGCAATTGCAAGGAACGTGAAACGTGAGAGCAGGATACTGAAGATATAAGAGATCGAGCTTTTTAAGTGTTCGAGGTTTTCATAATGTAGTGCAAACATGAAAAACCATTTTGTCTTAGAAGATTATTACAAAAGGAATAAACAAATTCAACTACTTTCGATCGATGTCAAAATTATTATTAAGCCCGTTTTCCCCCTTATTCGTTTTACCCATACACGCACTTGACGGTTGAAAGGCAGCAAGTAGTCTCGAAACGCCTGCTACACACGCTACCTTGGAAAATAGAATATCCGCAAAGTGACATACAGCCTCAAGTGATATGCATGCATGGCACCAATATATGCATGGTTTTCAGATACCACTGTAAGTTATATACAGCAGTTGAACATTTCCATTGTTTCGTTGTTTTCCTTGACATTCAATTGATCACAAGATAAAAGAACAATTTGTTGACATTCAATTGATTACAAGATAAAAGTACAATTTTGACAAAGTTGAATACTAAAATATAGTGTCAATGTTGATCATTTGTGGCGTTAAACATGGGATCAATCCTTAACCCATATTATTCTTACTTATTATAGAACTAGATTATAGAACTAGATGCACTCGGAGGCTGCATACCTCCACCATTAAATCATGCATAAATGGGGGGAAAGCAAGACAAATGTTTGCTAATTTCTCATCCAATATTCATTCCAATTCAATCAAAATTTAATCAATTTGTCCTTATAGGCAATGTCCGTGCATCAGTCCCACAAATTTTCGTATTTCGTTTGATATTTTTTACTACTTATCGTGCTGACAGACAAACACGCACAAACAGACATACACGCATGCAGATGAAAACATAACTCCCTGGTGGAGGTAACAATGATTTACTATATTTGAGTATAATTCGAAATAATCAACCGATTCCTTGAGTTCGCTTATTCAATATTCTCATCCCCTTAACGTTAAGGTGGCTAGATACATTTTTTTTTAATTGGTCAATTTACGATTCGTTATTTTTGGACAATTATTATATACTTGTTAAAAAACAAAGAGTATCTTATACTTATAAAAAACATCAACATCTAAAGAGTTGTTTTTTTCACAAGAGTCCCTGCGTCAACAGAGACATTTCAACATGGCGGATACTTTGGCTTTAAATTTGACTCGAAGAAGACTTCGGTAACCACCATGCATATTTTGTTTCATAAAATACTTCTCTTAGTATATTTAATTATATTGACGATTTTTACAAATTCTGTAGGGCCAACGAATGATGAAGACTCAATCTGGAAAAGTTTGGACCTACAGAATTTTTTAAAATCAATAAAATAGTTCAGTATACTAAGAGAAAGTCGTTGTTGCTGTAGCACCTGAAGTTACGTATAAAATCTATACTCTTTAGATATTGTTTTTTATTATATGGACAATGGTGTTTTACTGGAAACTAAAACACTCGTAGAACTCATACGTCACTACATCCGGGACCAGGTGAGCGTATTTTCCGTATTTCACCCCTGCGAGTGACATACGAAGTTCGAAAATTTCCCGCCATTTTCATAGTTGTTGTTTTTGAAAATACAAATGGTCTTTCGTTCGTATATAAAACGAAATTAACGTTGAAAATAAAACGAACATTTAAAAAACATCTTGAGTAAGTAAAATTGATTTAAATTTTTTAAATTTTGCCTGTTAAAGTATATACTAGCTATATGTTGACAAAATGCGAAATTTCATATTCACTTTTAACAAAAAACTATTAGAAAGTTCGCAAAAAAGTATATATAAGACATATAATGGCGTATAGCATGATTTTCTTGGTCGATAACGAGTTTTCAATGCTCAAAATGTATGCTAATATAGCTACTATTTTGCCAACTTTAAGCTCCTTTTTAATCAAAACCGGCTTCGGCCAAATTCCCACTACTTGCTTAAATGTCTTATATACACATATATTGCGAACGTTCTAATGGTATATAGCTTATTTTTTACGAAAAGTAAACTTGAAATGTTGCATTTTTAGTCAACATAGCACTTATAATAGGCAAAATTTTAAAATTCTCACATTTTCGGCTATAAAGCCAAAATCAGAGTTGCCAACATATGCCAGCTTGTAACAGAAAATGCCATCTGAGTACACCTTTCAGAGAGTCGGCTGGTAGTCTAACAAGTAGATAATAGTGGTAAATTTTCCATTTAAAAAGAACAAACTGTAGTGAGCCACCTTAAAATGGAATTACCACACTGAGAAATGGTTTGTAAAAACTTTGTTGCTGGTTTATTTTTTTTAATCTTTTTTCCCCGCTAATATAGTCCTATTTCGCCTGCTGGTCTTACGGGAAGTTTAATTTAACAATGAATTCGAAGATAAGCTTCAAAAATCAGCTATTAGACCAGATAAGACATGACAATGCAGAAATAACTTATTGGACTCCAAATACGATTGTAAACACTATTGCTCTTGTCGGGCTCTGTCAAATATTTAGCCCTAGACCCAGCAAATCCGTCTATGGAGCATGTGTCTTAACAGGATGGGAGAGGAGCAAATTTGTGGAATGCAGTTCCTGGCTGTTAGGGTATTCAAATGGTTAACCAAAAAGGGAAAACAAAAAGTGGGGTGGTGGGGGTCAGTGATTGTGTAATTTGTTGCTCTTGCTATAAATTCTTCCCCCTAATCTATAACACACCAAACTAAATTTGTCATATAGAGAGCGAGAGAACTACAGACGCCTGCATGTGTTGTGTATTTTGCTATACCGGGCGAACGTGAACACCAATACGGCAGAAATCTTTGTAGTAATTGTTTTGACGCTTCTCTTGCACTATAGGCAACGTCGAAAGAGGTACAACTTTTGACGCAAGGCAAGAGTAAGTCTCTGTTGACATCCTTTTTGTTCGCAAAAATTCTTGCCAGTTGCTCTTGTAATTAAAGTTACCTAAAAAGACTCAGACATGATAGTTTATTGTATTTTTATCTCAACATAAAGTATTTTGCAAGTTTGAACTGGGTTGGTAGATGGACCCCAGCAGTAATGTAATTTGAACTGGATGGATTTACTAATTAAGATGCCAAGCAAACGCTTAGGCGCTTCTACGCGAGTTACCATTTTATTCTAGAAATGATTTCTTTATGATGTCATTTCCTCCGTACCTGAAATAAATGTATCATTGCCTATTTAAATAGGCTATTTGTGAATTACGCCAAATCAATGCTCTTTAAAGCTTTGTAAAAACTTCGCACGAAGCCTTGTTTTGAGGCCATTCTCTGTCGGCATTCGACCGTAATTCGGAAATAGCCATTCCATTGAGCCGTCCATTCAATTGACAGTGGAGTGTGAAAATGAAGGATACTTCACTTTTAAATGTGAATTGTCATAGAACAATCGAAGGAAGTTGGGAAATGATGTTCATCGAAAACCTACGATCACCCGATATATCATGAAAATCCGTAGCAAAACATCGCATCAAGAATTCAACATTGTAGCAAGTGTGTCAAGCCATAAGAAAACAAGTGATTTTTTTGGGGGGGACTCACGATTCATTGCTTGTCATAAATACGTAAATGTAAATAAGAACTGATAATAATGCTCGGAATAGGAATGACGGTAGCTATCTACCACAACATGCCGTTGACGTCATGCAGTTACACTAGATTATGCATTGCACGCCAATAAATAAACTTTCCCAAAGTCCTTTCCAGTTTTTTTCGCGGTTCGTATGTACGCTGGAAATAACTTTTCTCACTTGCAGCGCGCCAAATCTACCGGTGGATTTTTTGACCGGGGTGTGATTGGGGTGTGTCATTATTCTAGCCAATAAAAAGCGCATATTTAAATTATTTGAATTAGTTATTCAAATATCGTTACAGTAATTAGGCTTTCGACACAGATTTTCGACTTATTTAATATAAAAAATTAAACAAAGTCATTTCAAAGTAGAGAATATGGTTCTTCTCGAAGATGCAATAAAATATTGGCAACAGAGGCGAACTGTTGTTTAACTGAGTTAATTTTCTCGGCTAAAGCCGCACTTTTTCCCAAGAACTAATAATAGAATGTTACTGTAGTTTCACTACAACGAACTCTTCCAATTATTTATACTGTAATAGTTCAATATTTTCGCAAACATTCGTCTTTTTATGTCCAGGAAAGAATCGCCGTCGCTTATTTACATCTTCCATGTCTTTGCCACATTGTAAATAAAACACAACATGTCATGGAATTTGGAGAAAGATCGTCTTAAAATATAGTCATAGAAAGAAGTATAAATCTACCGTATAAAATTCAACGTAAATTTATACGGCATTTTAGTCTAAATTGATAGCATTTTGTTCAACCGCATATGTTATTAACAGTTATTGTCTGTGTTTTCAAATTTGCATGAGCGGAGATCGATTAACAATCGAAAAGTCAATTTACAAATTGAGCTTAAATCGACAACTTTTGTGAAACTTACATGCGTAAATGCAGGCCCTGTTACACGGTGCAATTTTTCATGCGACTTGTCTCGCAATGTTTAAAAAAAGGTTTTGATAATGCATTGCAGGAGGTGTTACACGCTGCAATGATTTTCATGCAACTCGCAACGATAGGGGACAGAGGCATGCGAAGAGACTAGGGAGAGGCGCTTTTTGGCGCCAAATTTTAATTAAAGTAAAGCGTGTACTGGGGTGAGCCAATAGGAACACTCCAAGCTTTAAAAATTGCGAGACAAGTTGCACGAAGCCATGTTACACGCTGCAATGCTAAAAATAATTGGTACAATCGTTGCCAAAAGTAGAACCGACTTCTACTCTGTGCAATGCCTCATGCAACTTGTCTCGCAACGATTTTGACCATTGCAAGGCATGTTAAACGGTGCAATGACTCGTGCAACTTGCCTCGCAACGCCATTGCGAGACAAGTTGCATAAAAAATTGCACCGTGTAACAGGGCCTTGATAATTAACTGCAATAATTTTCGCGCCAGAATTTTTAATCAGATCCAAATTCCTGCAAGCGAAACAAGTCGATCTCGCGGCTTTGCCGCTCACCGCGCCAATAAGCTGGAAAAAATAATAGTGGCGTGTGTGGGTATACGACGTAAGGGACCAGTCATTAGAGAGGTTGATTTGACTTCCGCTGCCACTACCGCTACCTGAATTATCAACCAATCAGATGCATTTCATATATCTGATTAACCAATCAGATGTGGACTAAGTCAGTGTGAGAGGTAGTGGTAGTTAAATCTGAACCTCGCTATTAGTAATGGGAGAGGCGAGATATTTCCAATATTTCAAGAGACCGCCCCCAAGGGCAAGACATTTATTTTAAAAATGCTGTTGCTTCATTAAAAGACTTGGACTTAAATTGTAGCCGTTTTATTATTTTATTGTCTTGTATCACTAGATTCTATATAACACCATGCAGTTTATTTTACAAAATTCTCAATGATTGGGGATTCAATCCCGGATTGGGGATTAATCAACTTTTCGCAGGTTATACAATTTTGCTGGAAACATAGTAACGTTTGCTTCTGCTTTTAACAAAGTGTTCTTGTTGATCCGAAACGGCGATAAAACTAAATGTAACCAGTGCTATTCAAGTCTAATATACCATTATATGTCGCACGTCGCCCCCATTCAGGCTATAAAATAATTCAGACCGCCCTCCCCATTTTCCCACACCCTGGTCCCCCTCCCATTATTAATGACCGGTCCCTAATTGTTACAGATAACAAAACATTATCTGCAGATCTGACGTAATAGCCATAGATAATTTTTTTTCTTGCCGGCGGACTCAAACAAAGGTAAACATGGTGGTTTCAAGGGGAAAGAGAAATAAACTGTTTAAGAGGACTGCATAAATAATCTTGCATAAATATTCTTACCTATTTAACTGATCATAACGTTTGCATTGAGAAGTTACCAGCATCGCTAGAGATTATTTTCCCATGATTTTTATTATGATTTTGTTGTCGTATTCGGTTTTCGCATGATATCGAAAATTATTAAGGATTCGGTTTGCGTTGTCTTCGGCAAATAACACGAACTTCGGCCTTGATAATTCTGGATTCACATTGATATTTTAAATGACATGCAGGTATACATTTTTAACATTCCAGAACCACTTAATATAATTCATTAAGAAAAGACAACATTATATACAGACTTATTTCAAATTTACAAACAGTTATAAATAATCCTTCATGTAGGTTGTCATAATATCTTTGAAGATTTCTACCTTTCCCAACAAAACATACATACATCTTGCCCTGAATATTCGGATTAGAAAGAGACAAATCGGTTTCTCTATTTCTAAGATCGTAGGTATTATTATATTACAATAACAGGCATGTTTTTATGCATTTTATATGCGGATAGAATTATAGGTCACGAGCAAAATTCTCCAAAGTGACATCTGCAGTTTCTATTTCAAGCCACAAATGGCTTTCAAATTCATTCTGGCATAAAATGGGATGTCCTTGCATGCAGAATGTCCACAGTCTCCGTTAAACTAAAGTCATCATTGTCACTCTGACCGACTGGGAACGTGGTCAAGTTCAATTTGCGTTATGATGCACATTAACCGTTGTTGATTCTCAGTAATGATTCAAATAAGATAAATACAAAGGAAATCATGATCGTGAGGGAACTTGTATATCCGATACAAAATCTTGCTGATCTACATAACTTTACTGTAACGTCATTAAGATCAGCCATTCAAGTCTCAGATTATTGAAGTGCATGGACGTTTTCATTAAGGCGATTATCCATACGATGATAATCCCCACGTCCGCAGTCGAAGGCTACCATCTCCAATGGGGCATTAGTACCATGCACTTGATAACGTTATTGTCGTCATTGTGGTAATTGGAAGTAAATCAAGTGAATTCTTTAATTAAAGACATTTTGATACTAAATGCAACGCTGTATATGCTACAGACAATGCATAAACATATATTCAGGACTTCGGTTTGTTATTTAAATTATTTGATTGATTGGATTCAATGGATTGAGAAGAAATTTAGACAAAAAAAGTGAAGCGATAAGTACTAATGCATAATTTTAACACTGTTATCAATTTCTAATCGTTTTACTTTGCCAGCCCAATTGAATTTAATAGTATATGGCAAAAACAAAGTGGCTATATTTGACAGCACGCAGAATGGCAGTATTAAAAAAATGAAATAAAGAAATCTCATCCTCGAACCAATGCTAACCTTTACCCTAGAAAGTTAAAATTAGCAGAAAAAATGTTTGAAAAACTTATAAATATATAGTGCCTCAACAACCGGGATTTGAATCCACGACATTAAAATACGTCACGGCACTGGTAAGCTCCTTAATATATACGGGGGGAAATATATAAGAACGCTGCGTCAGTTTTCTCGTTTGATAAGAATAGGGATAATTAATGTAGAAAAGATGACTATATTTTCGGGGTCATGTTTCAGTTCCCATCAATATTTACTATAGCTTTTGATTTTCGCAGCCCTACAAATTTAACAGAATGTTGTAATAAAACGAGTAAAATAACGCACCAACAGTGACTCAAGAATGAGTAAAATTATTTCACATTTACTCATTTTTTAACGATTTACTTTTTACTTAACATTTTGAGTCGTTGTGGATGCATTTGAGTCAAAATATTCAGGGTTTTTTTCCAGTGTGCGATTTCATCGCTTCGAGATCCGAAGATATTTCAATATCACAACAGTATAAGAATCGATTATGATATCTTTTATCGAGAAGGATTTCTGTTATCGGGAAGAGACATGATGTGTATCCCAATTCCCAACCACAATTTGCAAAATTGTTTACGAACACATTTTCATGTTGACTTTTTCTGGACAAAATTTATTAAAGTAAACTTAGCTACAGGCGCAATACGGCCGCCATTTGTGAAAATTTAGCATAAGTTCACAATCTTGCCCTGAATATTGTGGAACGACTCTGTGCTGAGTTTGGCCCTGAATACATTGAGCATTTGAATACTTATATATAGAGGATATTACACGGCGGCGCGAAGATGACTTTTTATCTTCGAGTGGTGAAAACAATATTTTACGAACGAGCGCAGCGAGTGAGTAAAATATTGTTTTTAACACGATAAGATAAAAGTCATATCTTCAAGCCAACGTTAATGTTCTGTTTATTATATAGTACCAAGCCAGAAATTGTACAAATACTAATAGTCACGTGACCGATATCTTCACTAGTGAAGATATGGAAAATATGTCACTGTGTATTTCTCAGTATCTCACTCTCTATGCTATATAATAAAAGCTATTATAGTACACAGTGTCCTAAGGAGTGGGCGAGATATATAGCAGGAAAGGTTTTCTTGTGTTTATACATTAATCAGTGGTTTTCATAGAATTAAACAGTGTACTTTGGGTATTCAATAGCATGTTAGCATTCGTAAAATCGTGCAACACAATTAGGGCGAAAGTTGCCTTGGATTCTTGACATTCTTATGTTACTTTAAGGCGTTTTTGTTGTAGTTAGTTCCAGAAAAACGTAACGCTGCAAAATTCATTATGAAATTTGATTTATTTATTTATTAAAATTGTGGCTTGTAACTATATTCATATATTCAAGAATACATTTCATATACAGTTATGCTAAAACTGTCACCTTATGGCCTTTTACATATGGCGGACAAATATAGGGCTTAACGTGGGAGGTGGGGTAACATATGTATGGGGTAGTAACAAAAAAGAGTTCTCCAGATTGGGGTGGGGGATAGTGTTAAAATAAAAACTTCAAATGGTCAGTATTGGTACAGTATCAGCTTTCTCGCACTTGGTGAAATTGATCTACAGACCGAAGGCAAAGTTTTTATCAGCTGAACCCAGATCCCCTTACACTCCGAACTACTGACTGTGCCTTTTGCTACCCTGGGAGAGTGTGAACGCCTGTGCAGGTACCTTGTTTATACTGTAGGCACAAAGTAGGTAAAGTGCCCCCATACCACTGAAGATGGGGGAGATACACAGCCCTTTAAGGTCTTTGGTATGCAAAAAGAGTCTTCAACAATACAGGGACTAAACATAAAATTCAATGGGCCCCTTCTCAAGATCGGAGTATGATTTGGAGACTGAGTAAAATTTGAGTCTAAGAATTGTAACAATTTTTCGGTGGCCCTGGGGGTCCGGATTAACACCTGGGGATATAAACCTAACAATACCTGAAGTTTCAGTGATCATGTTGTGCTCCAATAGCAACAAATATACAGTTTTTAAGTTGTTCACCCTTGTGACATAAAAAAGATTTGGGAACAAGATTGACAGATTTGCTGTTCTACACAACACAACCTAGTGTCACTTCATTCAAATAACATAAACTGAAGAAATCTTTTAAGACGAATAAGTTAATCAGATACCATAATAATATGAAATTCACATGGAATCGTACATATTTGTATAACTGATTTCATTTAACTGACTTTAAAAACTAATGTTCTCGACATATAACGTATCATAAAATACTTGTTATTCTTGTATCATGCATTACAAGATCTTATTTATGTATCATCCATTACAAGATATTATTCTTGTATCATGCATTACAAGATATTTTGTATTTAAAATAACACAAGTGGCTAATGTCTATTAAAACTCTGTTCAAAAGTTCGGTGATGTTCACCAAACATGGTCGGGTTCACAACACTGTCAACTACAATATATGAGATAACAAGTCAACGAAGTAAAATTTGTAAATTTGGCAAGCAATAGAAAAAAAAAGTTGATATGAGTTTGTGTCCTAGTATCGTGGACGTTTATTTTGAGGTCCATCCATGGGGTAGCGTGCTGGGGGACCACGGATCGTTCCCATAGCAGACTCACGAGACGGCAAATCTCTCCCATAACGAGGCTCTGGCTCTCTACCATACGCTGGATAATCACTCCTAGAATCACGTGCACCAGCCATGGCTCTTTCAAAACGAGCTCGGTCCAACACTTCACGCGTGGGTGCAGGGGAAGATTGGTAACGAGATGGTGAATTATTATAAGGTGCAGGTTCTCGTTCACGTGGAATGTCCATCTCACGCATGTACGGATCATGTACAGATCTATCATCACGAAGTGGCACACCACGTGGAGGCAACATATCACGTGGGGGTAAGTCATGTGGTGGAAAACTATCACGTGTTCTAGGCACGTCACGAGGAGGAAAATCACGTGGTGGCAAATTGCGTGGTGAAACATCACGTGGTGGCAAATTGCGGGGGGAAACATCACGTGGTGGCAAATTGCGTGGGGAAACATCACGAGGAGGCAAATTGCGGGGGGAAACATCACGAGGTGGCAAATTGCGGGGGGAAACATCACGTGGTGGCAAATTGCGGGGGGAAACATCACGAGGTGGCAAATCACGTTGAAGGTAGTCACGAGGGGATCTGTCACGTGGTGGCAATGTATCACGTGGAATTGGTGAATCATCACGCGGTGGCAATATATCACGCAGGGATGCCAAATTACGAGTCACAACTGCGTCACGGATAGAACGCATGTCACGTTGAGAGTCACGTGGTTCTATTGGACCACGTGATTGAGACGTGCCATAGGGAGGGTTCAGGTCTCTTGCAGATGGAGGATCTTGTCTAGGTGGCAAGTCAGAACGAGGTCTTGGGTATGATATAAGCTCCCTTTCTGGTTGTCTTTCATATCTTGGTAATGATGTATTATTGGCTTCTCCATTTCCACGTGCCTGTGGCAATCTTTCTGGCAGTGTATACCGAGACCGCAAATTGCTTTGGGGTACAGGGCTTCCTCTCTCGTTGGCAGGTGAACGTTTTGATGCATAATCTCGGCCATCCGTACTTTGATATTGCTATGTGGAGAATGTTTTATATGACATAGTTATGAACATATACAAAGGTAATTTCAACCTGCCACGTTGGGAGTTTTAAAAAAACAATATAACAAATGTTTTTGTTAAATATAGTCATGTATTTTAACATGCTTTTCAGGTTTTTGAAAACGAAATGTATACATTCAGGGTCTGTTCAACATTTTGCAAAATTTCGTATATGTATTGAAAATGGCCAGTTCTTCTTATTTGCAGTGTTTCTAAACAAGACAATTTTTAACCTCTTTCTATTCAAATATCTAATGCTTGAAGTTTCCTTTTAAATACCAACAAGATAGATTACCGGGATTTTGTCCTTGCAGAGAACAAATCACAAGGATTTGAATAAAGAAAAAATGTTCCATGGTTTAGAATCAAATAATTCAAGAATGATTTTTTGTTGGAAAAGAAACTGATGTACATAAGAATACGTTCGCCACGTTTTAGCAAGAAACCTTTACACTATAGTTGTTATGGCAACAATGGCTTTTTAACATGTCAATAACTGTAGTTAATGTATTTTACTAAACACCGTTTGCCAAAATTTAGAAATAAAACTATAACCTCCGAGTTGACTTGTGAATGTATCACAAATCATATTCTGCAAAAAGAAATAATATATAATTTGTAGACATCACAATACGACATGGCGACACATAATATGGGACTTTAATTGGTCAATGAAGGCCTAGCGATGATTATGTCACTATAGTGAAATGTTGGGGACGGGGGGAAAGTTATTTTAAAAGAAAAACTATTAAATTAGGGTTTCAAGTAAATATACAACAACTACGTGTGACAACATATGATCATATATACAGGGTGTATACAAAAAAACTGAACAGATTTGAAATTGCTCTCAATTTCGCAAAACAAGCTATTAGTATCCAGTTTTTTTATATATATAGCTTCTTTGGGTACTTATAATGTAGAATAATGAAAAACATTTCTCGAATTCAAATTTTGTGAACCAGGTGGGGGTGTCTTTTCGAACAAACTAAAAATGGCTTGCGCACGAAATTTAAAAGCTTTAATCATATTTTGAGTTAATAGATGGAAACTTTGTCGGGTTTTTAATTACTGTACAAAATTTCAGACAATTTGCTTTAGTTTAAGCCCTTTAACTATTCACGCAAACTTACATTTTTCTTAAAAATCAGCTATTTGCATGCTAATTAATGCCTTTGCCTAGTTTGCATATGTCAGCAATATGCAAATTAGGTAAAGGCATTAATTAAGTACGCGAAAGGCTGACTTTTTAGGAAAAAATGAATAGTTAAAGGACTTAAACTAAAGCAAATTGTCTGAAATTTTGCACAGTAATTAAAAACCCAACAAATTTTCCATCTATTAACTCAAAATATGATTAAAGCTTTTAAATTTCGTGCGCAAGCCGTTTTTAGTTTGTTGGAAAAGATCC